TCTCTCACACACACACACACACAACTCAACGTGGTTGATTTTAACACAGCGTAGTTGATTCTCTCACACACACACACACACAACTCAACGTGGTTGATTTTAACACAGCGTAGTTGATTCTCTCACACACACACACACACAACTCAACGTGGTTGATTTTAACACAGCGTAGTTGATTCTCTCACACACACACACACACAACTCAACGTGGTTGATTTTAACACAGCGTAGTTGATTCTCTCACACACACACACACACAACTCAACGTGGTTGATTTTAACACAGCGTAGTTGATTCTCTCACACACACACACACACAACTCAACGTGGTTGATTTTAACACAGCGTAGTTGATTCTCTCACACACACACACACACAACTCAACGTGGTTGATTTTAACACAGCGTAGTTGATTCTCTCACACACACACACACACAACTCAACGTGGTTGATTTTAACACAGCGTAGTTGATTCTCTCACACACACACACACACAACTCAACGTGGTTGATTTTAACACAGCGTAGTTGATTCTCTCACACACACACACACACAACTCAACGTGGTTGATTTTAACACAGCGTAGTTGATTCTCTCACACACACACACACACAACTCAACGTGGTTGATTTTAACACAGCGTAGTTGATTCTCTCACACACACACACACACAACTCAACGTGGTTGATTTTAACACAGCGTAGTTGATTCTCTCACACACACACACACACAACTCAACGTGGTTGATTTTAACACAGCGTAGTTGATTCTCTCACACACACACACACACAACTCAACGTGGTTGATTTTAACACAGCGTAGTTGATTCTCTCACACACACACACACACAACTCAACGTGGTTGATTTTAACACAGCGTAGTTGATTCTCTCACACACACACACACACAACTCAACGTGGTTGATTTTAACACAGCGTAGTTGATTCTCTCACACACACACACACACAACTCAACGTGGTTGATTTTAACACAGCGTAGTTGATTCTCTCACACACACACACACACAACTCAACGTGGTTGATTTTAACACAGCGTAGTTGATTCTCTCACACACACACACACACAACTCAACGTGGTTGATTTTAACACAGCGTAGTTGATTCTCTCACACACACACACACACAACTCAACGTGGTTGATTTTAACACAGCGTAGTTGATTCTCTCACACACACACACACACAACTCAACGTGGTTGATTTTAACACAGCGTAGTTGATTCTCTCACACACACACACACACAACTCAACGTGGTTGATTTTAACACAGCGTAGTTGATTCTCTCACACACACACACACACAACTCAACGTGGTTGATTTTAACACAGCGTAGTTGATTCTCTCACACACACACACACACAACTCAACGTGGTTGATTTTAACACAGCGTAGTTGATTCTCTCACACACACACACACACAACTCAACGTGGTTGATTTTAACACAGCGTAGTTGATTCTCTCACACACACACACACACAACTCAACGTGGTTGATTTTAACACAGCGTAGTTGATTCTCTCACACACACACACACACAACTCAACGTGGTTGATTTTAACACAGCGTAGTTGATTCTCTCACACACACACACACACAACTCAACGTGGTTGATTTTAACACAGCGTAGTTGATTCTCTCACACACACACACACACAACTCAACGTGGTTGATTTTAACACAGCGTAGTTGATTCTCTCACACACACACACACACAACTCAACGTGGTTGATTTTAACACAGCGTAGTTGATTCTCTCACACACACACACACACAACTCAACGTGGTTGATTTTAACACAGCGTAGTTGATTCTCTCACACACACACACACACAACTCAACGTGGTTGATTTTAACACAGCGTAGTTGATTCTCTCACACACACACACACACAACTCAACGTGGTTGATTTTAACACAGCGTAGTTGATTCTCTCACACACACACACACACAACTCAACGTGGTTGATTTTAACACAGCGTAGTTGATTCTCTCACACACACACACACACAACTCAACGTGGTTGATTTTAACACAGCGTAGTTGATTCTCTCACACACACACACACACAACTCAACGTGGTTGATTTTAACACAGCGTAGTTGATTCTCTCACACACACACACACACAACTCAACGTGGTTGATTTTAACACAGCGTAGTTGATTCTCTCACACACACACACACACAACTCAACGTGGTTGATTTTAACACAGCGTAGTTGATTCTCTCACACACACACACACACAACTCAACGTGGTTGATTTTAACACAGCGTAGTTGATTCTCTCACACACACACACACACAACTCAACGTGGTTGATTTTAACACAGCGTAGTTGATTCTCTCACACACACACACACACAACTCAACGTGGTTGATTTTAACACAGCGTAGTTGATTCTCTCACACACACACACACACAACTCAACGTGGTTGATTTTAACACAGCGTAGTTGATTCTCTCACACACACACACACACAACTCAACGTGGTTGATTTTAACACAGCGTAGTTGATTCTCTCACACACACACACACACAACTCAACGTGGTTGATTTTAACACAGCGTAGTTGATTCTCTCACACACACACACACACAACTCAACGTGGTTGATTTTAACACAGCGTAGTTGATTCTCTCACACACACACACACACAACTCAACGTGGTTGATTTTAACACAGCGTAGTTGATTCTCTCACACACACACACACACAACTCAACGTGGTTGATTTTAACACAGCGTAGTTGATTCTCTCACACACACACACACACAACTCAACGTGGTTGATTTTAACACAGCGTAGTTGATTCTCTCACACACACACACACACAACTCAACGTGGTTGATTTTAACACAGCGTAGTTGATTCTCTCACACACACACACACACAACTCAACGTGGTTGATTTTAACACAGCGTAGTTGATTCTCTCACACACACACACACACAACTCAACGTGGTTGATTTTAACACAGCGTAGTTGATTCTCTCACACACACACACACACAACTCAACGTGGTTGATTTTAACACAGCGTAGTTGATTCTCTCACACACACACACACACAACTCAACGTGGTTGATTTTAACACAGCGTAGTTGATTCTCTCACACACACACACACACAACTCAACGTGGTTGATTTTAACACAGCGTAGTTGATTCTCTCACACACACACACACACAACTCAACGTGGTTGATTTTAACACAGCGTAGTTGATTCTCTCACACACACACACACACAACTCAACGTGGTTGATTTTAACACAGCGTAGTTGATTCTCTCACACACACACACACACAACTCAACGTGGTTGATTTTAACACAGCGTAGTTGATTCTCTCACACACACACACACACAACTCAACGTGGTTGATTTTAACACAGCGTAGTTGATTCTCTCACACACACACACACACAACTCAACGTGGTTGATTTTAACACAGCGTAGTTGATTCTCTCACACACACACACACACAACTCAACGTGGTTGATTTTAACACAGCGTAGTTGATTCTCTCACACACACACACACACAACTCAACGTGGTTGATTTTAACACAGCGTAGTTGATTCTCTCACACACACACACACACAACTCAACGTGGTTGATTTTAACACAGCGTAGTTGATTCTCTCACACACACACACACACAACTCAACGTGGTTGATTTTAACACAGCGTAGTTGATTCTCTCACACACACACACACACAACTCAACGTGGTTGATTTTAACACAGCGTAGTTGATTCTCTCACACACACACACACACAACTCAACGTGGTTGATTTTAACACAGCGTAGTTGATTCTCTCACACACACACACACACAACTCAACGTGGTTGATTTTTTACTGATATATCAGATCAAGTTTAATTTTTTATTAATTACCTGCAGTTAGTTTTAAATTTTAATCTAAAATTTATTCTACTCATATTCTGATATATCAGACCAAGTTTAATTTTTCTTAATACAAAATTAAAAAGACTTAAAGATTAAAATTTTAAATTAAAAAACTAATATTGAAATACAAAAATAGATTTTTTATTTATTCATCACCATTTCTTTTTTAACTTTTATTAAGAGATCTATATAAGTACATTTGAAAATTTAGTTATTTATAGAGTTTTCATCTAAACTCTTAAAATAAATTATCAAACTTATATATTTATGTCTGCAAAATCAAATCATTAAGAATTAAAAAATTAAAAAAAAAATAAAGATTGAGATTTTATTATGATAAAAAAAAGTAAATTGAATTTTATTTTCTCAATGGAATGTCAATTTTATTACAATTCCGTTTATATTTAATATAATGGGTTTTACACATATAACACTATGAGATATTTATATATTTCACTCTCAAAATATTATATTTACTAACATAATAATTAATTTTTTATCAGTGCAACAAAACTAACACTCGATAAACTCATAAACCTCATTCGCAGTTCCTTCATCTTCTTCCCTCAAACAGCTTAACTTGATCACGAAGTGCCTTTTGTCAGATGTGCGGACTCCAATAATACAACGCCATGTGTGCTATATTGGGTTCACCTAAAA